TGAAACCCTGTTCTGCTGAGCTGAAGGGAAGAGGACTGTGGATGTTTTTATTTGCAATGTGGCCTGATCTTATTTTAAGCAAAAACTAAAGTAAGGCTCAAGGGCTGCAACTACTGAAAGATTTGCACTTAACTGCAGGCTGACAAGAGCATAGGCAGGACAATTCCAATCTGCTCAGCTCCTTCCTAGAGAAACCATTTTCCTCTCTGACACTGGGCTCCTGCTGCCAGAAACAGCCACGTCCCCTTGCCTCTGGCAGCCCAAGTGCTCTCTGACTCACACCCTACCCCTTACCTGCATGTTTTGACTGAATTAGTTTAATAATTTGAACGTACATCTTAAACCATTTTCTCAGTTAAATGAAGGATTATAATCACTTGCAATGAAATTTCAGCAATTTGCTCAAGCCGGGAGCTCTCTTGAAGCGATCAGGAGACAGTCAGGACTTGGTAGATCGATCTCTGAAGTACCTTTCCAGCTTATCCCAGGGAATTTGCATGATCATTTTTTTAATAGCTAGGATAAATATTTATGTGTAGGTCAAAAAGCATAAAACAGGGCATCGTGGTGTATTTTTTTCTTACAGATGCAGCTCAAGTGGAGAGAAAGACCATCTCTTCTTGAGCACAACTCACTGGCCTAATGTCAAAGGCAGAGTCTCCTTCCCTGCACGTACCTGCTCACTGGGCAGAGGAGAAGCAGACGCTGCAGGAGGAGAAGCTGCAACGCCATCAGCCCAGCATATGCTACAAGGTACTGACCCAGGCCTGCAGCTTGTATCCCCAAGCTAGAATTCCCCAGTAGAAATAAAAATATTTTTATTCAGTTGATTGGGCCTTAATACTGCCCTGATGGAGGCAGTGAGCAAACCAAATGCATTAGGTTAACATCAGCAATTTCCATTATTAAATAATAATAGCAATTATTAATATACTATAAATATTATAAACACTAATATTAAATTAGTAATTATTATTACTTAAAACTTACCCTCTGGTTACTATTATTTATTGATTTTTTTTCCATGGTTAGTGTTTAAATATTCTAACTTTCTTTTAAGATGTTATCTTTTCTTGTTCATTGGGGTGAATAGCATCTTTACTTCTTTGAAACTGTCTCCCCCTGAGGGTTCCTGCCTCAGTATCTTATCTGCATTCTGCATTTTGATTACTTCAATTACTTCATTAGTCTTTGGAGAAAAAACAAACAATCAACAACAACAACAAAAAACAACAACAAAAAAAACCCCACCCTTTTCCAAGGTGTTGACAAAATGCATACACGGTATTTTTGCGATAGAAATTTAGATGCCTACTAAGATCTTTTAATACACACTGTACTTTAATTAACTGTGTAACTCCTCTTTATGGGGCAAGTTCTCCTGCAGCCGCTGGCACTGGTCCATACAGGGCCGGAGTCACCAACCTGTGGAGCTGCACACTGAGAAGGGTCAGCCCCGAGCCCCGCAGGGAGGGCCTCATCCTGCCCGCAGAGCCGCCCTGGCAGCGGCCGCGAGTGCGGGGCCGCCGAGGGGGCTGCTGCAGCTGCGCGAGGAGGGGGCTCGCTGCGCTTTTGAATCAGCAGAATAACCAGGGCTTTTCTTTTCTGTTTAAAGTACTGCTAACACCTTACCTTTCTTCTGCGTGCCTGCTGGTCCTGGGGGAGAGAAAACTTCCTCTCCTGCTGGGCCTGCTTCCTGCCATCCCTTCCTCTCCCACCCCCTACTGAAAAGAAAAAGAAATCACCAACACCATTAAGACTGAAACAAAAGTGGGGGGCAAAAAGAAACAAGAGTATAGCCAACCTTTTAATTAGAGTATATTGTACTTCCAAACTGGATACACTAGAAATCGGCAATGCAACATAAGATGCAAAGGAATATACCAGTTACTGTCAAAATGACCCTGTACAGCCTTATAATGCAAAAAGCTTTATACAATACAAATTTTTATTAATGTACACAAACCTTGACAGATTCATATTTGAACATAATACAACAAGTAAAAAAAAAGACAGAAGACAGAGAAAAGTGCTGAGAACTTTAACTGAATTACTGAATGGAGAAACATGCTAGCTTTCATTAAAGAATGCATAGTGAAAACCAGTATGAAATTTGCTTTATGGTGGGGGGAATTTATCAGAACTGATTAGTAGGTAGGAGAACATTCCTTTCTTTAGCCTTGAACTGAAAACCAATTATTTTAATGCACATGAGTTCTGATAAATACTGTGTTCTTAAAAAAATAAAAAACTCCTAACACACATTTTTTCCTTTCAGAGAAAACTTTTATAACTCACCAAAAAGAATTAATTGATTCTTTCCAAAGTGCTAAGTAAGGTTGCTGGATACATCAGACATTACCATTTCAGATACTGGTACAGTGGAACATTGTTAAACGTGGCATTCGTACACTGACAGCTCCTTCTTGGAAGTTGCAGCCGTAGTTATATTGCAGTTTGGTTTACATAAAGTATCTCGTTAACATTCCTACCTCTCTCTTCTACCCAGCTGTACTTTACCTGTTCAATTAAAAAAAATAAGCCTTTTGATTTGGAAGTGTTTAGTCTACTAGGGCGGGGCCAGAGATATGCAGTGGAGTGTATTTTAAAGAACCGGTATAGTTCCTGGGTGCAGATTGCGTATTTCATGCTGCTGAGAATACTTGATCTTTAACAGCTTTATGCTTTGCGTATTTACTAATACAGCATTTCCTATTTTGTCTGTAGCCCAAGAGGAGTTACCAGGAGCTTGGATGGAGTGAAGCGTGGCCAACAGCCCTGAGTTATGCACACTGTTCGCTAAGGTTTGTACACCGTTTGGAGCAGGTGGCTTTTCCTAACTGCTTAGACGGAACCGCCATGTGCTCGGCAGAACCCAAACTGCCCACTGGAATGTAAACAAGATGGTGCAGTTCCCTACTTCTTAATTAGTAACTGCAAACTAGAACCTGCTACTCCTTTTGGATAGTCCCCCCGCCTTTTAAGTAGCCTCCAGTATGTGAAGAGCAGCACACAGATTAGGATGTCCTCCCCAAAGCTCTCCAGGAAAAGTTTGGTCATGACAGTGAAGAATGTTTGGCTATCTCAGTGCAAAAACAAAGGTAGGACTCTTGCAGCCAGGTTAAATGATGCAAGTTTTGAGTCAAAAAAAAGTCTTTCTTCACAAGCTTCATTTAAGAAATAATGGAGATGGCGATTATACTTCTAATTGTGCATATAGCACAATTGTGGCCCTTAGGGACCAGAAATGCCTCTCTGAACTGTGTACTGCATTAGTGCTGTCCCAGACAAGTGGCCAAATCCAGTGGCCCCTGCCGCCTGTTGCATCCCTCCAACCTGCAGGAAAAGTTGCACCACGTTCGTGCAAGGCTGGGTAGATAAAGCGTTAAACACAAGTCAGGGCTCAGCAGAGAGGGAAAAGGGGGGGCTCTGCAAAAAGCTATGTCAGAGACATCTCTCACACCTGGTGAAAGACAGCAAGATTGAGTTCCAAGATGCACCATGGAAAACCATAGTCCAGCAAGATGAAAGCGTTCCTGTAAGTCACGTGATCATTTTGAAATGTTTCACATTTTATAGTTCCAATTCTAATGCAGAGTATTCTTAATCCTGTTCTTTCTTCCTGGATATTAAGTTCTCTAAGAAACATAAATCAATTAGCAGTCAATCTCTCCTCTTTAGGATCACTCTTGGTGTTTTGAGACTAACAGAGGTTATAAAACCAATCCACGTTTGCTTCTTCCTGCAATAAAGTGCTACATATAACATGTCATTTTAATGACCACAAAGTAAGAGCATTAAATAAGTATAAAGTTAGCTTCCTAGCAGTGTCTGTTCTATCAGCCATTAACAAAAAGGAGTAAAGTGTTACTAATGGCATGGAAGGTACTGATAGGCCTAGAGAATCTGCAAGTACAATTGAAATATTGAGGGTATAAAAGAGAACTGTATGGTTAAAACAGTATCTTTTTATAGCTTTATATTTCAATGTTGTTATGGGTACCTTTTCAAATACGTTTTTCAAGAATGTTGTTTTCCTTTTTTTTTCTTTTTTTTGCAAGTGAGCAACAAATTAGTGCAAGACTAAAGCACTGTGCAAAACTGCCTTTTTTTTTTTAGTCTGAGTATTTATACCCAGAATTTATCCATACCCCTTTTTTAATCCCCTTTGTTGGATTTTTCCACCATAAAATTCTAATAATACAGGTTGTTCCTGCAAAGTAAAAGGTAACCACTGCTTTAGTACAGTATGTATATATATTTATATATATGCATATACATATATATAATATTTATATGCCCTTTCCAAACCAAAGATGTATGCTATGGCCCAACACTAAGGTGTTTGTTGCACCTGTGTAACAGTTGAGAAGGGAGCCTACTGCATGGGTGCATGCGCTGCTTCCTCTGCATCTGCCCGCTGCCCCACACATGCCCTCCCTGTCGCGTGCTCGGCCTGCAGTGCTGCAGGCAGCAGCAGCTGTCTCTGTTCTAGCCAAGCCCCCGAGTTCCAGAAATGAGTACCGGGCATCAAACAGCTCAAGGAGGCCGCAGAGCTGTGCTCACATAACACACCACTCCCCTCGACCAAGCGCTGGCACCTCCGCAAATCAACAGGTCAGGGGAAGACACAGGAGGGGCGAAGCGAGTGTATGAAAGGGGGGAAAATATTAATAATAATAAAATAAGCTGATACAAGGGATGTGCAAAAGCAACGTCATGACATGCTACAGCCAGCCTCTCTCTCATGCGCGCGCATGCGCGCACACACACACACAGACACACATGCCAAAAAAAATAAAATGCATCAATATGTAATCTTACAAGTGCTGATTGCCATTAAGGACACTCTTGTTCAGCTTAACAAGACAAAATAGTTTTTTATATAAGAGTACTGGGAACATGCCTCTGAAGGTAGAAGTATGCAGTAGGTCACCTCTTGGAGATTGAATAAAGCAGCTTTCATGTCAATGCAATAAGTATACACACAGAGCCATTTCCTACACCTTACTAATGAGATATATAGTACAAGTGTTCGTTACTGCTCGGGTCTACATTTTGCAGCACTGCATACCTGCGGGGCGCACCGGGGGATTTTTGGTACAGAATGTAACTGCCCTCAGACAGTTTCTGCCCTTTCTGTTAACCCAAGGTAGGCAAGGAAGGAGTGTTTCGGTGAAGAGGCACCTCCTGGTGCAGTCTGAGGTCTGGGTGGATGGAATGTGAGATCATAGTGGTTTTTGGGGAAGAACATTGTTAAGGGAATAAGGTGGGCAAACTCAGAGTTCCAATATTTATCAAAGCACAGGGAAGTGCCGTTGATGGCCAAGGCCTTCATTGCCAAGTTTGGCTCTGTCCCGCTGCTGTGAGCAGCTGACATAGCCACTGTTTGCAGCGCTTGGGAGGCAGACATAACGGAGAGGGGGGACAGGAGGTTCCTGGAGCTGTTCACTGGGAGGAGTGGACTGGCTTCCTTGGAGGTTGAATACTGGCCCTTCTTCTCCTCTTCGGAGCAGTCCCCAGTCTGGTGCTTCTTCACATGGCGGCTGAAGACAAAAGGGTGGGTAGTCTTGAACAGGCACTCATCGCAGCTGAAAGTCTGGCGTGGAGCATGCTTCAGTTTCTTGTGCAAGTTGAGATTGTCTTTGCGTTTGCAGCTGTAGCTGCACTGGTCACAGTGAAAAGGGCGCTCGCCGGTGTGGACACGCACGTGCTCAATCAGCTTGTTGGCAGTCTTGGACAGGTAGCCACACTGGTCGCACTTGTAATGGTTGCCAAGGCGGTGTTCCCGGATGTGCATCTCCAGCTCCAGCTGGTTTGCCTTCACGGTCTGGCAGATCCGACACTTGTACTCCATCTTGTAGTGAGTCTTCAGGTGGCACTCCATCGCTGCGGGGCGGTTTGTGGAGTAGATGCAGAATGGGCACCTGGCAACACAGCAAGGGAGGGCAGGGAGAGAGAAGTTGTGAGTCAGCTTGGAAGCCTGCATTCCTG